GCAGTTAGTGAAAAATTTTGATGTGCTAGAAAAATTCCAATTAACTAGTTTCACACACTTGGTATTTTAGGGAAGACAAGAATACTGTTTGTTAGTTAAATTTTCCTTCTTCATTGCAAAGTTTATTACCTTCGGCTTCAAAGCCATTGTCTTGCACTCATTTATTTTGATGGGGCACTATCTTTTTGTACCATGCTCTCTTTCACTCAGATACAAGAAATTGCCTATAATGTTAGGTCATTCAAATAGCATTTACATTATTACTGCATGTGATTAGCTTTTAGGAAAGATCAAACCAAAAGAAAATCATTGATTTTATTTTTTATAACCATTTATATATTCCGATTTATTTAAAAAGTAGGCTTTGCAATTATATGTACAAAAGAAACTGAAGCAAATCTTCTTTGTATTCAGAATTAGGAACAGTGTCTAAAATGAAAATTTAATGTAGATCCTTTCTGAAAGGAATTCACCGTTGTATTAAGTATCTTAAGTTAAATTTGTATGCATTTCTGCACATAAGGGTTCTCTGTACCCTATGCTTATAGTCTTATGATATGGATAGAATGTAATTGTTCCATGTACTTAAGGATTTACCTTGAAAATAACCTATACTGAGCCACTACGTATGATTATTGTCTCTGTAGGTATGCAAGCATTTCCTTGAAGCCATTGAAAACAACAAATATGGCTGGTTTTGGGTATGCCCTGGAGGGGGTGATATTTGCATGTACCGTCATGCACTTCCTCCTGGATTTGTGTTGAAAAAAGATAAAAAGAAAGAAGAAAAAGAAGATGAAATTTCATTAGAAGATCTCATTGAAAGAGAGGTAACTAGTATCTTCCTACCATAAAATAATCTCAAAGCAGTGTTTGTTGTGAAATTCTAACATTTACCACTTGGGGGCAATAGTATGTTATTATGAAAGGGAAAGTGTAGTATGACCTTTTCCCACAGTTGCTATACTTTAATTATTCTTGGGTGTCTAAAATGTAAACCTAACCATAAACATTAGCCTATCTATGACATTAAGTTTAGGATTATGAAACCATTTTTTAAGTACCAACTACTGGCTAATCAAATTGTTTCCAAGAGATTGAGGTATTAAAAATGATTGGCTATCAGATTGATTGAACTTGTAGTTTTAGATTTTTTTTCCTCTGGCATCTTTTTATTTCACCTTTATACTAGTCATTAACTTATATGTGTATTAAACTCCACTCCAGTTTTTCAGTTTAGTTACATGTTTTATTATCCCTGGACTTAAAACATTCACTCTTCTGACAGAGGGGAACGAGTCAGAGGGGAAGAGGCTCTTCAGGTGCTCATATATGGCTCAGCATAAAAGGCAGTTTTTTATTCTTTGAGTTAGCGAGTGTACCTACTGAGGATGATGTGAAAATGTTAAGATTATTAGAAATTTTACATTTAGGGTTTTATATTTTGTCAGTGGAAAAGAAGCCAAATTTAAAGAGGTTTATTCTGACCAATTTGAGGACCAGGGCCTGGAGCTAGGCCCATGAAAACTTTAGTAACTATACTCAATGTGGTTAGGTTACAATTTGATTTGTACAGGGAGACAGGAATTAAAGGCCAAGTCATAAATCAATATGTGGGAGGCATAATTTGTATTTGCTCCGAAAGGTGGGACATCTCAAATTGGGGGCTTAGAGGTTATAGGTGGGTTTAAAGAGTATTTAGCTGAAAGAGTTAGGCTAGCCTAAAAGACCAGGAGTTAGCAGAAAGGAATGCTTGAGTCAAGGTAAAGGTCTATTAATTAGAGACAAGCTATAAGCCATGTACCCAGACTCAAGTTTGTTATATATATATTGAGGACCTACAAGTTTAGCTTGAATAGCCTTAAGCTTGTTAATGAGTTAGTTGCAAGGGACGACTCTTAAGAAGGGGGTTGGGAGGTCATGATGAGGCATGTCTGAAGTCACTTAGCAACTTACTTTTAAGATAGCCACTTGGCCAAAAGGGGGCCCATTCAGTTGGCTGATTGAGTGGTGATGGGGGGCGGGGGCTTAAGATTTTATTTTAATTCACAATTTTTAACTATATTCCTTTTGCCTCATCTTGGATGATCTTAATAACTTGTATAAATGGTTAATATTGGGATTATGTACACTTTTTCTTCAGTGGCTATACATATCATTTGTTGTCTCCCACAGAATACAATATACTATAATAGAAAATGTAGACTTTAGGATCAGGTATATTTGAGATCTTTTGAATATTAGTTTTACTACTTGTTTGCATTAATTTTTGGTAAATTTATCATTACCCTTTGCTTATTTGTGGAGATACTATCATGCTTTATACATATCACAGTATTACCGCAATATAATATCATAATATCATGATATTATCTCCACAAATAAGCTAAAGGTAATATTGTGATATTATGTATAAAGCATTTAATACTGAATACCTAGCAGATGTTCAGCAAATATTTATGTATTTACCTAAGTATTTAATACCTGATTATTGGTCCTGAGGAGCATATGGTGTTTTTTTTTGTTGTTGTTTCATTTTGTTTCTCATCTCCTGAGGATTGCAAATGAAACTTGGATATTGTTGTGGTGATTTTTATATTTACTGTTTTCAGCAGTTGGTTCATGTTAAAACAGTTCTTGTGACAAGTTAGTTTTACTCTCCTTCAATGATAAGAAATCTGACTCAGAATAATATATTTCAAGTGTATCTCCATACAATCATTGTTCATTGCTATGTAAATTAAAAATAAGTCAATTTGTTCCAAATTTAATGTCTTCAGGGTAAACATAGTAGCAATTTTTATTACATTAAGAGAAACTGCTACTAATCACTATTCTAGATGACTTTTGAGGAAAAATTGTTCTTTATCTTGCAGCGTTCTGCCCTAGGTCCAAACGTTACCAAAATCACTCTAGAATCTTTTCTTGCATGGAAGAAAAGGAAAAGACAAGAGAAAATTGATAAACTTGAACAAGATATGGAAAGAAGGAAAGCAGACTTCAAAGCAGGGAAAGCATTAGTGGTATGTGCTAGATTACCCAAATTGATTTTCTATTCTTTCTTCCATTTTTAATTTCTGTGGCATACAGGATTTTGTCCTTATTTAATCATATGTATGTCTGAAATCATTGACTAAGGAATCTTTAAATTTTGTCCTGAGTTTATAAATTTATGTGTCTAAGTAGATCAGCGGCCGAGAAGTGTTTGAATTTCGTCCTGAGCTGGTCAATGATGATGATGAGGAAGCGGATGACACCCGGTATACCCAGGGAACAGGTGGTGATGAGGTAAGAGGAAGCTTTGTGCCTCATCATCTTATGTTAATTGAAGTAAATAATTGAGACAGCATAGGATACAATGGTTAATTAAGAGCCACTGACATTGAAGCCAGAGTGCCTCAGTTCAAATCCTTACTTCAAACATGAGAAATGACTTCCTTTAAGGCTCCCACCCTCAGTCTGTAGTATGGACATAATTACAGTCCCTAAATTAGAGGCTGCTTATAAGAATTAAATGAATTCATGAATTTTTATTTATAGTTCTTTATAGAACTTGGATACTTCCTGGTATATAGTTACGCACTATATGTATTAGCTATAAAAAGCATATTCTTCCTCTGAGGAAAAAAAGGTCTTTTGTTCAAGTTATTTAGAAAAAAAGGTTTTTTTATTACAAAAAAGTATCAAATTTAATTTAATATATAGTTTGATTTTTAAATGAGAGTTGTTAAAATTTTTTATAATCGAAAATTATCAGAGTTGTAGAAGACATTAATAAGCTATTAGATACTGAGTCAATGAATACGGTTACTGGACCAGGCATTTATAAAAGCCATGTTTAGTAGAGAAAAGGTCCAGTTATACTAATTAACTGACAGAAACATACTTTAGCTTTTTATTTCTAATTATGGAACATTCTCACTTTGACATAATTTATCCTTTTCACCCCTTTACTACTATGCCAACAAAATGTTTTCCTAATTTTAAGCCTTTTTTTTTTAACAGTTACAAAGTATAACTTAACTGTTGAGTTTTTTTTTTTTTAATGTGGAATTTTAGTTTTTGCTTTGAACCGGTTTGACCAAAAAGTACTAGACAACCACTACCATATAAATCAAAGTAAAGAATGGAATAAAAAACAGAAATGGTGTCTGTATGATCAGAAAATTATGTGTTAAGACATTTTAACTATCACACAGTTCTGCTTTCAAGGTACTGGTTCCAGGGTACTACAGTGTTTGGCATTTTTATTGAAAGCTATAAATCATAGTATTACTCTTCTCAAGTCGTCCATAAGAGTATGGCAGTGTTCACTAAATACAAAAATTGTTATATCCAGTAAGTGATATTCTACATAGTTAAGACAATTCTTGACAAAACTAGGTTGAAAAAATGTAGAATATCTTGCTAATTACCAGTTGTCTCAAAAAATAATGTCAGAAAAATGCAGAAGATAGAAAATCATTGATTATTATTTTGCTTTAAGCCAGAAATTATTCTGAGAAATAAGCAATAATGAGAAAAGATGTGAATTAAAATACTGTATCTCTCTCCTGAGACAACACACACTTTTCAACTCAGAAAGTTCAATTCTGACTTTTTACATTCTTGATTTCCTTTGTCTAGAAAAGGGCCCCATTTTAAATAGCTAATTTGAAGAGTTCATAATCTAAAATCATTTTTCTCCACAGGATGTTTTCAGTATATAAACTATTAAAATGGCAAATGATTAAGTCAATTATAAAGAATTTGTATCATAGTAAAAGCTAATTTACAGTAACTGTCACTAGACACCAACATACTTCTACACCCAAGCCTAAAAGTTACTATAGCATTGAGGTTAGAATTAGCATGATTCTTGCATTTGGTCGAATTTCCTTTGCTAAGTAATATTGTCAGGAAATCCAAAAAGAAACCTTAGTGGGTCCTTCCAAAGCTGTGTAATTTTCCAAATGATTTTCCCTCTGGTCATGGAGCCTGTTCATTTTTTCAATCCTCCTTTAGTGTTTAGCTTTTGCAATATTTTCTTGACATTTTTGTTTCTTCTTTTGCTCCTTCTCCCTGGTCTCAGTCATCTTGGCCAACTTCCAAGACAGTGCAGCACATGCTAGGAACAGTGGAGTAAGGGCCAGAATAACTGCTGTAAGGAAGCTATATGGGTCCTTTGCAGCCCACTCCACAACATACTCAACCCAAGCCTTTATATCAGACATCTTCATAGCAGTCTTAGGAAAACATATGCTTGAATTGCGATCTCTTAACTTTGTCCTTGTATTATTAGTGAGCCAATCACAATTCTATTGTATCTTTGGTTGTTCGTTGTCGCCTTTAGTTTTACCATACACTTCAGAGAAGTTTCTGTACTGTGGGTGAGCTGATGTGGCCGCTGGCCTACGGGAACCATGTTTGCTCGTGCCCCTCAGCCTTGGCAAGCGTGGGCCGCTCCCCAGAGCCAATAATCTCGGGGAAACTGGTCAATCCCGGCCCTACCACACCTAGTGGTGCAACCGCCTGCGCTAGGAACTGGGACAAAACCTAGGCAGCAGCCACCACTATGTCATGCCAGGGACATGGATCCCGCTTCCAACTCAGCACCAGAAAAAAAGTTTTGATGATAGATGATCTTGTGTTTTTATTTGGCATCAGTGATAATTTTGTTTCAGGGATGAAAGATAATAATACATGAAAACTGTTCTTACTTGTAACAATTTTGCTTTTCTTTTTTGTTAAAGGTTGATGATTCAGTAAGTGTAAATGACATAGATTTAAGCCTATATATCCCAAGAGATGTAGATGAAACAGGTATTACTGTAGCCAGTCTTGAAAGATTCAGCACATATGCTTCAGATAAAGATGGTAAGTATGCTAACTTTTGCATAATGTTAAGAACTAGGAAGCTACCTAAAGGGGATTTAGACCAGGCTTGGCAAAGTTAGGTATCTTCAGGTACCAGCCTAGGAACAAATATGTGGTTTGGCCAAATTTAAAAATAAAAGTGAATAGAGGAGACAGTAGATATGAGTGACTGAGTACATATTGAAACTATTAAGTAAAACTAGAAATAGACAGAAATGAATCTGAAGATAACAGCTATGAGTTGAGTTTGAGACCTCAGGAGTTAAGAGATTTTTTTGGTTACTAGAAGTATCCCAGTTCTGGGATATTGCGTGGACATTTTCAGGAGAGAAGGGTTTGAAAGTTGCCTGCTTTGGTAGCTGAGAATTAATGAACTTGTTTAGACACAGTACATAGAGAACATTCTAGAACACTGCAAACATCAGTGTTTGGGGGTAGGCAAAAGAGGAAATGCAGAGGAAAGAACTATGAGAGAAAAATTAGGAAAGTTTCAGAAAGATAAGTAGAATGAGAATTAAAAGTACATTATCCAGTGCAATTAAGAAAAGAGTTGTAGGAATACGGTGCCAGATTTCATCAAAGCTACATTTGAGGACTGAGGAGAAAAATGAATATAGACCACTCCCTCCTAACTTTGAGGGAAAGACATGGTCCTTGAATGGCTTTTCATGATATAGGAAACTTAAATATATTGTAGACCAAAGAAAAGGATCTGGTAAAACACGAAAAAAAAAAAAGATGATGAAAGGAAGTTAGTTGCAGAAGCAGGATTTGGAAGTATAAGTAACGAGTTACATGTGAGATTAGGGGGAAGGCTTCTAGGTATATTTGGAGATGAGGATTTCCTGGTATAATTTATAACTAATTGTGCCTTGAATGAATGGTTCTAAGAGAGAGGAAAAGTTTGGCCTACTTGGTGTGGGAGAGAAAGGAATCCTAAGTAAGGCAAAAGCTGAGAGAAAAAGCTAAAGCCTTATTTTTACAGTAAAAGCACACAAGCTATAATATGAAACTGGCGTGCCCTCCCTAGATCTGAAAATGCTGTCAGACTATTCATTGTTTTGCCTGTATTCCAGCTGATTTGCTTTTTTTTTTTTTGAGACAGAGTCTCACTATGTCACCCTAGGTAAAGTGCTGTGGCCTTACAGCTCACAGCAACCTCAAACTCCTAGACTCAAGCTAGTCTCTTTCCTCAGCCTCCCAAGTAACTGGAACCACAGGCGCCCACCACAACTGCCTACCATTTTTTTTGTTGTTGTTGCAGTTGTCTTTGTTGTTTAGCTGGCCCAGGCCAGGTTTGAAGCCGCCAGCCTCAGTGTATGTGGCTGGTGCCCTACCCACTGAGCTACGGGCACCACCCTGATTTGTTTATTTCAAGTTGGAATTTGATAATAATAGATACAATTGCAAATACTTCAAAAGTCTTAATTCTCAAGAGTTTGTCATGAGAGATATTTGAAATAGCTAAAATATAAATTAGGCTTTTAAAAATTGTCTTTGTGTAAATACTGATGTCATTTTTTAAAAAAGCAGCATTTTTTCTCACAGTGCTATGCAGCACTGCATTCCTTTTTTTTAAATCAATATTTCAAAGATTTTTTTGTTCCATAACTATTTAAATAGCATATGTCTGTAATTGGCCACCCAAGGAACTATAACAAAGTGGCCAACATAAGGAAGTGGTCAAGGTCAACATAAGAAACTAGGCCCACTGTACCAATACATATATATGATGCATGTCTCAGTCTTTGAAAATGAGGTCAATCTAAGGAGGTGGTTAATGTAGGGAGATGGTCATCTATTAAAAACCTAGTTGCTAGGTCATGTCAGAAACACAGTTGTAGAAGATTGATTTACATATATAAATCATTAAGCAAATGTTTATAATAATAGTATTTTATAGTGGTGTAGATGGTACAAATAAGCTCAGAGAAAGAAAAAATAGTTATTGCTATGAAGTAATTCTGTGGAAGGCTTTCACAGAAAAGGGATACGAAGTGTAGTATTAGTCTTTGCTGTTAATAGTGTTTTATGCTTCTAGGATTTGTTGATTTAATTTTTTTTTTTTTTAAGAAAATAAATTAAGTGAAGCCTCTGGAGGTAGGGCTGAAAATGGTGAAAAAAGTGACTTGGAAGAGGACAATGAAGCTGAGGGACAGGAAAATGGAGCCATCGATGCCGTTCCTGTTGATGAAAATCTTTTTACTGGGGAAGATTTGGATGAACTAGAAGAAGAATTAAACACACTTGATTTAGAAGAATGACACCAAACAAGTCACTGAAAAAGATTAAGGCAACTCAGCAGGAGTTAAAATTGACTACATTAATTTTTTTCTGCCTAGAATGAACAAGATGTTTATTTCCCATGCTGATTCTGGAGGGATTAGCCTCCTCCCCTCAAAAAGGAACATTCTCCTTACGTCTTCTCCTCACTTTGGCTACATCTCATAGTAAGTTCAGAGTAGTTCATGATAAACTGAAAATACAATGGTTATTCAGAAAATGATTGATTGTTGTAACTGTCCACTCAAGTAGGAAGTATAACTGCTTTTCCAGCCTTTGGTTTTCATTGGGCATGTGTTACTACCAGAAACAACATAAATTTACATTTATAATACCCTTTATTTGACATAGTTTTTAATGAGTGATTTAATTTCCTTTGTATTTATATGTTTAAAAGGAGAGCACTGTACTTCATAAAAGGAAACTGCATATGCAGATTCAGTGTTGTATGTCTCTGGGCAATTAGATGGACCTTTAAAATGGAATTTCTTTTATCTGACAGAATCAGCTACAATGCCCTGTGTTAAACTGTTTAAAAGTTTTCCCTCTTTTTTTTGCCGATAAAATTGTAAATAAAGATCATAATACATTAAATCCAAATATGGGCCTTTTTTTAAGCTTTTCTATAACAGTTCTAACATTTCTAGCTTGAGGATTTTAACTAAGTATCTGTTATACTATTACATAAAGCACAGTTTGTTTATATAGAACCATTTAGAGTACTAACAGTATTACTATGAGTTTAATGACACTGATACTTAGCTTTCAAAAAGAGACTGTGGGAGGCTGGGCACAGTGGTACATGCCTATAATCCTAGCACTCTGGGAGGCTGAGGCAGGTAAATCACCTGAGCTTAGGAGATTGAGACCAAGAGTTCAAGATCAGCGTGAGCAAGAGCGAGACCCCATTTCTACTAAAAACAGAAAAACCATCCAGATGCGGTGATGCATGCCTATAGCCCCAGCTACTTGGGAGGCTAAGGCAAGAGAATTGTTTAAGTCGAAGAGTTTAAGGTTGATGTAAGCTTTGATACCACGGCACTCAATCCAGGTCAAAAGAGTGAGACTTTGTCTCAAGAAAAAAAAAAAAGACAGAGACTGTAGGTGATATTATGTGAAAGGGAAATTTCTGAATTGACAGATCATCAACCTAATTACCTACAACTGAACCAAATAAAACTTAAAATCATTGTTGGGATCCAGGGTGTTAAAATAGCATATACTGTGTGCCAAAGTATAATTGTTTACAAAAGTGTAAACAAATTCACCCGGAAATTTAGGGCCACGGGTCTATGCACTGAAGTCCCCTGAAAAATTATGGTATTAATAATTTTTAAATGGACATAATTTGCTAATGACTTAAATAGTAATAGTTACACTTTTTTATCATTGTGTTTTTAAATAATATAGTACTTCTGTTATTTGCAAATATAAATGGATTTTAAGGCAACTAAGCACTAAAGTGTCAAGTGAACTGGACCCTAATCTCATTTCTCCCTCAGATAAATTTTGTGATTTTTAAATTTATGAATCTTAGTTTCTTCATTTACAAATAAAGGTTAAGACTCAGTGATCTCTAAATTGCTTCTGAATTATAAAACCTAAGAAAACATGATTGTCAATCTTAATCAAGTAAGATCAAAGTCAATAAATTTAATTCTTAGCTATTTAGTACCAGTGCTATAATTGACACTTTTAATTGTAGAACATAATGAGTTGAGTTTATTTTCCATCTAGTGAAAGTATAATTAAATACTTTGTATATAAAAACAGACTTTTAATTTTAAAGCATATATCCCTGAATGATTTGTCCTGTTCTTTTTGTGAAAAGGTTTAAATGTCATTTGTTACGTTATTTAATAATGAACCATTTTCAAAATAGTCTTAAGAGCTTAAACCTTTCTAAAGCTGTAACCTAAGCAATCTTTTCTTTTTTTAGCTCTTATTGAAACCATTTAAACTTTTGTCTGAGAATTTGTCTCGTAAGTAAACATTAGAATCTATTTATTCATTTTATACTCTAAGTTTGGAGGCTTTTTTTCTGCATGTAAGTATGCTAAAAGTTTTTAAGTTTTTAAAG